CATACCATCCATTCTTCTGCATTGACGCAAGCAGCAGAGCTGCCTGCAATGTGCCATCCACCAGCCTCCAAGAATGTTTCTTCTAACCCCAAAAATTCTGTAAGAAATTTACGTGCGTCTTCAAGAGCTAGAAATACCTAGAAAGGCTGGCCTACAGCCACATCCCTCAAATGAGGTCATGGACGTACTGGACAGAAGTCGTACCAAGACCTGGGTAATCCATAATCTGCATAAAATAAAATAACCCATGATACCAGAAAGTCACTTGTCCTAAATGAGCACTACCGTGACTTTTATTTCGAAAGGGGGGTTTTCTAACCAATTCCCTTTTATGGTAACTTTTGAGAAAGATCCCGATTATACATTTATTTCACATAGTTGGGAATTAGTTACTATTCACTTAATTTGGATGACTGCTCTTTAAGTTGTAGGCAATGTGACGGAAAAATTCTTCAAATATCCCATGGCCAGAGATAAATGTTGTCCAGTATATTTAAAAATTATATTTACAATTATCTTTGTTTTCCTCCTTAGAATAAGATGGACTTGGAAAACTGTCAAGATAAAGAACAAGAGAGAAGACAGAAGAAATCATTCCAGGGCGATGCCAATGACTTATTGCTTAAGACTAGGGGAAGTGATCCACTGCAGGAGAAGGGCAGGTATGAGCCCTCCCTAGACTGTCCATGAAAATGTACAAAGCCAGGCTCTGCCTGTTCACTCCCAGGAAGGGTACCCATTGCTAATGCAAATCACATTCAGCTTTGAAATGATCATTCCAGTAATACATTACATATTGCTTGAACATACCAGTAATACATTACATATTGCTTGAACATATTATAATAGCTCAGTGTCCCTATACTCTTGAATATAAATAGCCTTGTTTTTATAGGCAAAACCTTTTTTAAATTGAAGGAGACAGTATAGATCATCAAAGGAATATGTTGTCAGTTCAAAGCCCCAAACTAAATGTCACTCACCTGACATGGTGAACGTGTCTGGAGGGGTAGAGGTTGAAATGAGGCCCAGGTGTCACACTCACTATGATTTCACTGTGGACCTGAACTTGGCAATTAGTATCCCTGAGCTGTGAGAAGCCACATTTACTCCAGGTGATAATATAAAGGTTGTGGGTAATCAACCCACCCATGGGAAATCAGAAAGAGACAGCTAGAAACCCATGGAGCACTCAGAGCTGAGTCAGATGGAGCAGACTCTGGTAGTAGCTGTGGGCTGTAGTGGGTTTACTGATGCCACCCAACACTTAATCCAGAAGGGACCTGCAGAAAGCCTAGGAGGCTGGCAGTGCTCTGCCACCAGCATGTTCTTTATGAGACCAATGTTTGCCTCAGGGACTCTGAGATACCAGGCGGGCTTTGGCAAGTGTAGGTGCATGTGCACACACACGGCATCACCAGCGGGACCTGAGACACGAAAGGCTACCTCCATGTCATTTTCAGACTGGCTGGTTTGAAAGCTTGGCTGAGAGCTGAGCTCTGCTGGTGGGGTTTTGCTCCGAGGATTCTCCTTGGCTCATCAGCTAGAAGACTTGGTAAATTGTAAGCTATAGGAGTTCAGGGCTCATGTCCAGAGACTGTAGAGCCCTTGAATGAGCTCATCTGTCTCCAGTTAACACTGTTAAAAAGGACTTTCCAGTTTTATGAGATGAAAACCACTAGTCAGGAAGATTTGAATGATGCCGATAAGGATTTTACGTGATTTTTTGCTGATTCTCCAGACTGTCCTGTTGTCCCCAGAAACTTTCCTTTCATCTCCTCCATCTCTTCTGTCCTTGCACACAGAAACTACTGAAAGGCCATCGAATGACCATGTGCTACAAAGTTCCCTTGTGGCCCAAATGGTTTCTACGATAAGTCCCCTCTTGCAAAAACCTGGCAGATTGCAGTTAGCTCTGCATTCTTTGAAATTATTAGAATGAAGAGCTTTGTGGACAGGGAGGACATCAGAAATGACAGTTTCTTGAGTTTGTTAAGTTGGTGGATAACAAAAATGTATAGTACTTTATAATATTTTAAATTCATTTCAAATCTAACTTAAAAAGAATAAACGTTTAGTTAGTCCCACTTCTTTTTTCTTATTGTAATTGGTACTTTCATGCCCTGAGGAATAGGACCAAGAAGTTCAATCCAATTGCTTTTATCTCTATTCTGAAATCCTTTTCTTTATTTAACAGCCTAGCTCAAGAGGCCTTGGCTCATTCTGAGAACAACGTATTAAAAGGAATCCGTCAGGACCATCCATTGGATACACAGGCTGGGCCCCCACACAGTGTTCTGAAATCCTTTTCTTTATTTAACAGCCTAGCTCAAGAGGCCTTGGCTCATTCTGAGAACGACGTATTAAAAGGAATCCGTCAGGACCATCCATTGGATACACAGGCTGGGCCCCCACACAGTGGGATGAACCCACAGCTAGCTCAGGGTAAGAATGGAGTAGACCAACCCCAATAGTGAAATTATTACAAGACTCCCACATTATCCACACATATGTGACCTCTGCTGGCTGTGAGCTTCTCTCTAAGGGTGCTAGACTTCTAACTTATGCTGAATGTGTATAGTGAATAAACTCCCACCATCATGTGCCCAGACTCTGCATATAGTCTCGGGGGGGGGGGGGGGGCCCCGGGGGGTTTGGGGGGGGTTTCCCCCTTTAAAAAAAAAAAAAT